CCCCGCCGCCTCCAAAGCGAGGACCGAGCGGCTTGGCGCTCAGGTCTCGCTGCTCTTTCCCCCCCGGCTCCGAAGCGAGGACCGAGCGGCTTGGCACTCGAGCCTCACTGCTCTCTTCCCCCCCCAAGCGGCGGCGGCGAGGGAGTTTGCAGAGCGTCCCTTGCACATGTGTAGGGGACGCTCTGTCACTTTTGGGGGGATTTAAGTATCCCCCCGATATTTTTTTCAGGTTTTTAGATTTTTGTGCACACCTGGGGACTGCCCCAAGTGTGCACAAGAATCTCCCTCCCCCCCAGGTGCCCCCGATGCACAGATTTAGGTATCCGCATGCAGGGGGTGCCTTTCACTATTAGATATATAGATAATGTCATTTTATTACTGATGGTAAAACCAGATGAGGGTACACATGATCCTATTTTGTTGTTTTTCCAAGGGTATCCATAATGGTAATTTTATGTTTTCCCCCTTGAGGCAAAGAGTAGCTTCAAGGATTATATTAGTTCAAGTTAATGAGCAAAGGGTTAACCCTCCCCTCTCTAGCACCACAACCCTAATCAAATTACTCCCCTCCATCCAATGGCTACCTTTAACTTTCCCCCTAGAATAATAAGTGTAGTGAATGTAGATGTTTGAGGGCAAATTCTCTTCCCATGGTAAATAGGTTGAAAGGTGTGATGATTTCTTAATCTACTGAGTGTTTTATATATATATTTAATAATCAATGTTGTTTTCCTTGTTGTCAGCACATCTATATATGTCAGATTATAAATCAAAGCAGGCAGATAACCTTTCTGGCCATTCATATATGGTGATTTGAAATGGAAGCAATATCAGTAGAGCATGCTTGTTTTTGACATGGAGGGTGAGATGCAGCCCAGTGTCTCAGTGAAAGTCATCTTCCAATCAGGACTAAGAAATTTGAATTTCTTTGCCAATAAGTAATGTGTACTTTTTCATTCTTGTAGAACATCCTCGAACAGATTCAGAGTGGGAAAACAGTTTTGCCTTGAAAATGTTTCTCTTCCAATTTGTCAACTTAAACAGTTCTATTTTCTACATTGCTTTTTTCCTTGGAAGGTAAGTTAATTTCAAATGAGTTAAGGAACTCTCAGAAAAATAAATAACAAAAACCATGATGAAACTTGTAGCCCTAGCAGATCTTGTGCTGGTATGCAAATTAACTATGTGCAGTTCCTTTGCACAGATAGCTAGCAGTGAGACCGTACAAAGTTTCATAGGTGAGATATTGGGTCTTAGAATGCCTGTCTTGACTCCTCATAGGTTTGAGGGGACCCAATATACGTGTATGATTCAGATTCACATGTATTTGCAAGACATGGAACTTCAGAACATGCCTCTGCAGTGAATACAGGGATGTCCTTCTTGAAAATGGCATGTGTAGTTAGGTTCTTATCCTTCTTGCTCTGTGGTTCCCATTAAAAGACTTTGCTTCAAATTGGCACTCGGATGAAAGTTTAGGGATTGTGATATACACATGAAGGTTTCCAGTTGCACAGGCTGCCCCATCAAGGAAGGGAGTAGCTCGATACATGTATCTCTTTGTGCGTGCAGATCTGTCCTCACCATTGAAGGGAACATGGAAGCTCAGCCGTGTTCATATCAAAGTTCTTGATTGTGTTCATTTCAAACAATGCACAGGAATTTTGAGTGTTTGCCTTCTCTGCTGAACTAAGACAGTGTCCAATATTCTCTGATTTTTACATCGACTTCAAAATTATCATATTTTATATAGCTGAACACATTGCCAAAAAATATCTTAATGAACATCTGAATTTTGTTAATGCCTCTCCCCACCCCAGTTGCTGGTTCACTTTGGTGTTTGTTTGTTTTTTAAATTATTCTACTTTTTTCTCACTCATCTGACCTCATTGTCATTTAATCTAATTGGCTGTGGAGACCTCCGTGATTTATTTTATGGGCTTTATGAAGTCTTCACATGTAGCATTGTTACTTCATGGACAAAAAATGTGGGTTGTCATAACCAATCAGATTAAACAGCAGTGAGGTCAAGGACAGTGAAAGCAAAGAATAAAAATAAAGTAGCACCCAGAAGATGCAGTAAAGAGAACAAAAAGACTATAACAAGTATCAAAATAATGAATTGCAAGAATCAAAAACCACTGATAACAGGAGGTGTTTTTGACAAGCAAATAGTTTCTATCCAGTGCCAGTGTTAACTCAAATAGTTCCCAGTAAGAAAGAAAAGAAAAATAAGTTTCACTTAGTTGTAAAAGACTAGCCCTGATTCCATACAGGTAGCCAAATCTGATCAAAAGGCCAGCCAGCAGTCTCACTGAGGCTTTTACAAACTCCCATGTTTGCAGAAAAATCACACTTCCATTGGAAAAAAAATAAAAAGTGAATATTGACATGCACATGTTACAAAACCAATGTATTGGAGTTTAAGTACTGATTTGATTTGCCATAGGGCCCAAAATGCCACTTGAGAATTGTGTCAGTGCAAAGCAGATGCTAGCAGCACCATAAATAGGAACTGAAAATGGTTCCATAAATGGGAACCATAAATGTAGGAACTGAAGCTGGCGTTGATATGATGGGATGCTGTGTTCTATGGCAAAGAGAAGGACTAAAGATTACTCCTTGTGATTCTTTATGGGTCCTCCTCTTGTTAAATATGGCCACTTATTCCAAATACAACTGACAAACAGAAATCTCATCTTCCCAGATTTGCTGGACGTCCCGGAAAATACAACAAACTTTTTAACAGATGGAGACTGGAAGAGGTAAACAACCCTACATGTCCTGCCAATGTGTTTTCTACATTCAATTTTTTTTATTATTAATCTGTGCTTCCATTGTCAAATAATTCTGTTTCTTGGATAATCAGCTTCTTATTTTTTCAAAGAACGATTAAAATAATTTTACATGGCATAAAAACAAGACTGGTGGATCTCATTGTTTACCCCTTTAGAGTGATCTTAAAATTATAGGAAACATAGTGTTAGAAGGGTCATCTAGTCCAACCCCCTGCACATGCAGGGAATTCACAGCTACCCCTCCCCTCCACTCCCTCAGTGATCCCTGCTTTGTGCCCAGAGGAAGGCAAAAAACATCCAGGGTCCCTGGATCAATCTGGCCTGGAGGAAAATTCCTTCCTGACCCCAAAGTGACCCCAAAAGAATTAAACAGCTTAATGATAAACAATGCTTTGTAAATGTGTACACTGTAATGCTTAAGAACATATGAACATAAAAGAAGCCAATGTTGGATCAGGCCAAAGGCCCATCCAGTCCAACACTCTGTGTCACACAGTGGCCAGAAATACTAGTGCCATCAGGAGGTCCACCAGTGTGGCCAGGACATTAGAAACCCTCCCACTGTTGACCCCCCCCCAAGCACCAAGATGACAGAGAATCACTTGCCCCAGAGTCCCTATCTATACCTTGTGGCTAATAGCCACTGATGGACTTCTGCTCCATATGCTTATCTAATTCCCTCTTGAAGCCGTCCATGCTTGTAGCCGCCACCACCTCCTGTGGCAGTGAATTCCATGTGTTAATCACTCTCTGGGTGAAGAAGTACTTCCTTTTATCCGTTCTAACCCGACCGCTCAGCAATTTCATGGAGTGCCCAGGAGTTCTTGTATTGTGAGAGAGGGGGGAAAGTACCTCTTTCTCTACCTGCTCTATCCCATGCATAATCTTATAAATCTCAATCATGTCACCCCTCAGTCGTCATTTCTCCAAGCTAAAGAGCCCTAAGCACTTTAACCTTTCCTCATAGGGAAAGTGTTCCAACCCTTTTATCATTCGAGTTGCCCTTTTCTGCACTTTTTCCAAAGCTATAATATCCTTTTTAAGGTGTGGTGACCAGAACTGCACACAGTATTCCAAATGAGGTCTCACCATTGATTTATATAGGGGCATTATGATATTGGCTGATCTGTTTACAATACCCTTCCTAATAATCCCCAGCATAGCATTGGCCTTCTTTATTGCAGTCACACACTGTCTCAACATTTTCAGTGAGTTATCTTCACAATCCTCACTGGTTTTCACCACCCTGAACAACTTCGTATCATCCGCAAATTTAGCCACTTCACTGCTTACTCCCAACTCCAAATTATTAATGAATAAGTTAAAAGGCAGTGGACCAAGTACTGATCCCTGCGGTACCCCACTGCTTACCACCCTCCACTGAGAGAATTGCCCATTTATACTCACTCTCTGTTTTCTATTAATTAGCCAGTTTTTGATCCATAAAAGGACTTGTCCTTTTATCCCATGATTTTTGAGCTTACTTAGGAGCCTTTGATGAGGAACTTTATCAAAAGCTTTCTGGAAGTCAAGGTAAACAGTATCTATTAGATCCCCCTTGTCCACATGTTTGTTCACCCCCTCAAAAAACACTAACAGGTTAGTGAGACAAGATCTTCCCTTACAGAACCCATGCTGAGTCTGCCTCAATAGGTTTTGTTCATCTATGTGCCTACTAATTCTTTCCTTAATAATGGTTTCCACCAATTTACCTGGTATCTACATCATACTGACTGGCCTGCAATTTCCCGGATCTCCTCTGGAACCCTTTTTAAAGATGGGAGTGACATTAGCTACCTTCCAGTCCTCAGGAATGGAGGCAGATTTTAAGGAAAGATTACATATTTTTGTAAGGAGATCCACAAGTTCACATTTGAGTGTATGCCATCTTGGCCTGGTGATTTATCAGTTTTTAAGTTGTCTATCAGTTTTAGGACATCCTCTCTCGTCACCTCAATCTGACTCAGGTCTTTCAACACCCCTCCTGAAATCAGCGGTTCTGGAGTGGGCAAGCACTTCTCATCTTCCACAGTGAAGACAGAGGCAAAAAATGCATTTAACTTCTCAGCCATTTCCCTATCATCCTTCAGTACTACTTTTACCCCTTGGTCATCCAAGGGCCCCACTGCCTCCCTGGCTGGTTTCCTGCTTCTAATGTATTTGAAGAAAGTTTTATTGTTGGTTTTTACGTTTTTTTACGTTCTTCCTTTAGTGTCATCCTAGTGGCTGCTTAATAGACCTCTGCCTGCAAATGGGTGTTATCATGGTTTTAAAGCAAATGTGGAACAACTTCATGGAACTTGGCTATCCGTAAGTACAATCATTCTCGGCTTTTTCTAAAAAATGTAATGTCACTGTGATTAGAGCTGTAAGCATGTCAAATTGCTGGCTTGATCATTTATTCTGCTGGGACCAGAATAATATTAAAACCACCTTGACTGTCCAAACAAAAGCAATCATCCATCCTTTCCTCTATGGGCAGCCCTCAGAAAAAATGATAGTTATTGGAAGAGATCCATATAAGCCTTGATGGAGACCTTTTTCACCGGTAGCCAAGGATTACACTTGATCTTGTACACTATAGTGCACAGTCAGTACCATTAGTACCAATGAAACATAGTACCATTTTCAGACATCTTAAATAGCTAAAGAAGTCATTGCAAGGATATAAAAATGATCAAATGGTATAAAATGCAAGGGTATAAAAATGATCAAAAATTCATTCGGCAGGGAGGGTGGGATATAAATTGAATGAATGAATGAATGAATGAATAGCACTGCCTGCAGTGATGAAATTTCCTACCTATAGAAACCTTGCTCACAAATAGGTTTGTCAGCTCTGAGTTGAGAAATACTTGGAGATTTGGGGGGGTGTAGCCTGGGGAGAGCAGGGTTTAGGGAGAGGAGGGACCCCTGAACAGTATCATGCCATAGATTCCACCCTTCAAAGCAGTCATTTTCTCCAGGGGATCTGATCTTGTTCATTTGGAGATCAATTGTAATAGCAGAAGATCTCCAGGTGCCACCTGAAGGTTGGCAACCCTACTCACCAGGAATGAAAACAATCCAAGTGGGCCTAGTGGAATGGTGCTGACTAAAGAGACCAATGAGTGGTGGAGTTACTGCAAGGAATAACATAGCTTTTATGCTTTGTCTTTCTAATACAGGTTGCTACAAAACTGGTGGTCACGACGCAAGATCAAGAAAGGAGGGCAGTTATTGGAGCATAAATTTTCTCTACCTCAGTGGGAAAAAGATTGGAATCTACAGCCAATGAATCTTCATGGTCTGATGGATGAGTACTTAGAGATGGGTGAGTATGCTCAAGGAGCTAGCCTTTCTGTTTCTAATAGAAGCTGATGGTTGTGTTTACTACCACTGTTCCCTTGTTTTTCTTGAGGGAGTGTCCTTAACTGATCATATGACCTGTTTTCTAGTTTTACAGTTTGGCTTTACTACCATCTTTGTAGCTGCTTTTCCACTGGCTCCTCTTCTGGCATTGCTCAACAACATTATAGAAATTAGACTTGATGCTTATAAGTTTGTTACACAGTGGAGGCGGCCAATGCCTGCAAGAGCGACGGATATAGGTGAGACAAAACATGGTCACTTTAGCTGCTCTTTTTACCAAGTAATTGTGCCAAATATTAGAGTTGTTCAGAAATGTTTTTAACTTCATGTTGCAGTGCATATTTACATCACAGAATGTAATCCATTGTGTTTTCACAACTATTTATTTTATAAATATTTATTAAAAGGGAAGAACAAAGTTTGGGTCCAGTGGCGCCCTTAAGTCCAGCAAAGTTTTATTCAGTGTGTAAGCTTTCATGTGCACACACACTTCTTCAGATACAATGAAAAAGAATTTCCTCAACCATTACATATAGGTAGAGAAAGGGTGGAGGGGGCAGTTTCGTTGCCAGGAAAGGCTAGTTAGAGTCAAGATGCGTAGGTAACTGGGTGATTATAGCTGAGATTGGATTAAAGCAGTTGGTAAAAACCGTGAATAGCAGTAAATTAGCAAGCAAATACAAGAGTTAACAAAGGGATGTGAGAAGTTCAGTTACTTATGCATCTTGACTCTAACTAGCCCTTCCTGGCAACTAAACCCCCCCCCCCCTCCCCCCCCCCCCATATGTAATGGTTGAGGATGTCTTGTTTCACCGTATCTGAAGAAATGTGCGTGCTCATGAAAGCTTATACCTTGAATAAAACTTTGTTGGTTTTAAAGGTGCCATTGGACTCAGACTTTCTTCTGCTGCTTCAGACCAACACGGCTACCCACCTGAATCTATAAAAAAGGAAGTTAATGCATGTATAGGTTGTGATGCTGGAACACCGTTGCTTTCTGCAAATATAATGAACAAGGCTCTTTTTGTAGAAAAACCCCAGCAGGAACTCATTCACATAATAGGCCACACCCAACAGCAGAAACTCATTAGCATATTAGGCCACACCCATGACATCACAGCTCATTAGAATATTAGGCCACACCCCCATGTTACCAGAAGTGTGGTCATCCAGTCACACCCACTTTTTGCTTCTTATTCTGTTTGCGTTGTTTGTTGTCAAACCAGTTTTGACAAAATCAATAAAAACATTTTTTAAGTTTCCAATTTCATACTTTAATAATTAATATTATATTTATTTTAAAAGTAACATTAACAGTAACATAAACACATCTCAATAAACGTATCTCTGATTTTCTCTCTCAAACAGAAAAACACAAATCACAAAGCATTTTCAAAAATCATGTTAATTGTGATGTTGAAATTTAACTATCTTTAATGTTTCCATTTCAGGCACATCAGAATCTCATTTTATGTGCCTTTTCTTTAGCAAATTTTGTCACCTATTCCTTCAGGTCAAACGCTGAAAGAACTTGTCACTGACCCAAGGTCACACCAGCAGCTGCATGTGGAGGCGTGGGGAATCAAACCCAGTTCTCCCAAATTAGAGTCCATGCTCCTAACCACTGCACCAAACTAGCTCTCAATTAAACTAATCAAAGTCCCCTCTGGCCTTTTATTACATCCATTTTCACAATTCGCACAAAAACAAAAATATTTGGTGGGGGGGAAAAGAGATAAGTTGCCTCACTAGCAAATCTAGTGAAGAAGAGGTGGAGGAGGAGGAGGAGGAGGAGAAGATTGGATTTATACCCCGCAGTTCACTTGGAGTCTCATAGTGACTTACAAACTCCTTTCCCTTCCCTTCCCCACAACACACACCTTGTGAGGTAGGTGGGGCTGAGAGAGCTCTGAGAGAACTGTCCTTGAGACAGAGAACAGCTCAGACGCCAGCCAGAACACCATTCCGGTGCATTTCGCCCCCAAAATAGCCCTGATAATAAGGTGGGAAAATGATGTTTTAAATGTCAGAAGATCCTTGGATTGAAAGTCCGTGAGGTTAGGACTCTGTGTCTAGGAGATACTAGTTGACTCAGTTCTTATGACATTGCTTGAAATCGGAGTAATTACATCCATTTACAGTTGGTGTAGTTAAGAAATGGCATTTTTAAGTCTGTCTTGGAACACAATTAAAAGCTTCTTTGGGTGTGGATTGAAAACTGTGTAAAGAGAACAAATTTGTAGTAATTGCTGTATCTGGATTCATTTATTATTCTTTTCTCCTAGGAATTTGGTATGGAATACTTGAAGGAATAGGAGTCCTGGCTGTAATCACCAATGCTTTTGTTATCGCCATTACTTCTGACTATATCCCACGATTTGTTTATGCCTACAAATACGGCCCTTGTGTTGATCAAGGATACAGGCAGGAAAAGTAATTACTCTATTTTCCAGATATATTTTTAGCTGATGCACTAACTGTTGTATTTTGGTAGATGTTTGTCAGCATAATACACTCTTATACATCTTGCACATTGTTATTATTGTTACATTGGCTCAAAGGCTACTATATCAGAGGCCAAGCAAAATACGCTCCAAAATGTGGTCTGCTATCTAATCTGTACATATGGAAACATCTCATTAAAATAAAATGAAGATGCCCTTTTCACTCTCTCACCCACACTAGAGCATTTGACTGAGAACGGGGATTAGGCAATTTAAAAATGTAATTAAAGAAATAAATGCTACAGCTCGAAAGTTTATAAACCTCAGTATCTTAGTACCAAAACTTACATGACATTTACATTACCATGAATAAATGTCATAGTATTTTTCAGAAGTCTGATAGCAGCTGTGTGCGGATTGAGTAAGTAGGAAGTTCACAGGGAGTACACAGTACATAGGGAGAGGAGAATCCTTCCCCTCCTGATCCCTCCTGATGAGGCTGTTGTTAGCCTTAAAAGGGAAATAAACACTTGCTGTCAGGATGCTTCCCTCCCCATAATAAAAGTTCAGGTGAGACCATTTCAATTGGCACAGCTGACTACAGTGGAGAAGATGAATCCCTTTTCCTCACACACTATGGCCCTGACCCTGATCAGGGTTCTCATAGCTACAGTTTAAAAAATACAGAGAAGGTGCTGCATCAGCTGTATCAGCATCACCTCTGCTTTTCCTTTTAGTGGCACCCAAACAGTGTGGGGGGGGGGACAGCAAAATAAGGTCCGTATCAGTCCCTTTGTATACAGCTGAACTACATATCGAAAATAAGGTTCAGATTCTGAAAACTGAAGACTTATGTAATGTCCTTCCATATGTAGTTCTAGTGTGTTGTACTATCATTAATACATTATTTCCTCACCTCTAGCAGGGATGACCAAAGGTATTGCTTTGCTGATAAATGTGTAGTTCTACTAATAATATCAGATCAACAAAGAATGTCCTTCTTTCTAACTGGGCCAGAGAAGAGCAGATCAAGAGGGGGACCTATTCAGGATGGGCACGAATCAGCTCACAAACGAAAGTTCATGCCGAATTTTGGCTGGTTCATGGTTCACAAAGCAATGTTCGTGTAAAGGTGACCCCACAAACATTCCATGAACTTTCACGCTATTCATGGTGTTTCGTGAATGGATACATTTCCAGACAGACTGTCTCTGCTCAATTAAAATGTTTACAAAACTTCAAAGCAATGGGGGGGCAGAATTCTCCAATTCTCCATCATCAACAGAAGCCCTCCAAAGCTTTAACAGGCACTGTTGGCTGCCAATAACATAGTTCCCATTCTGCTCTATGCCTCTCCTCTGTTGGCTGTTGGCAGACCAAGAAGCAGGGAACTTGTTCAAAGCTGACTATATTCATATATTCCTGATTGTGAACACCTCCCCCCTGCTGAGGTTTGGGTATTAGGTGGACTCAGGGCTCTGAGTCACCCCATCTCTCTGCTCACACCAAGCAGAGGGGCTTAGCTACTGGGTGCCTCATCTGAGGAACCACATTTTATACCTCCTGATTGTGAACTTCCCTCCCCTGCTGGGGTTTGGGAGTGTTAGATGGACTTAGGATTGTGGGCCACCCCATCTCTCTGTTAATGCCAAGTGGTGGGGTTTAGCTACTGAGTGCCTTGGCTGAGCACCCACATTTTATACCCTCCTGCTTGTGAACTCTCCTTCTGGGGTTTGGGTGTTAGGTGGACTCGGGGCTCATAGCCATGCAAGAGTGGTCAGGCCAGATGACAGCCTTGCATGGCCAGTACTCCAGAGGATCAGCATCAGCGGGCACAGGGGAATTGGCGAGGTACTCCCTCAACATCATCTCTGCCAAATCCTCTGCCATTGCATGTCTGATATCCACACCACTTCTGGCCTCTCAATTCACCACTGACAATCAGTAGTGGGGCTTCACCCTGGTTGCACTCTTTGAGGCAGAGGTGCTGCAATTCCTCTTCCTTCCCAGCCTCTTCAACCCACTGTTCCCTCTGGCCATGTTGGGTGGCCTGTAACCTCCACACTTCTTTGCAGAGCTCACACTTCCTTTGCAAGAGCTCTGCATTAAAGAGAATAATGCTGCCTTTTATTGGTGATCCACAGATACAGGCCAACTTGTGCTCCCCTTTCTTGCAGAGAAGATGTAACCTGGTGGTGATGCCCACCTTTAACCTCTCTGCCAAGGCCCTGACCCATGGGAAAATAGCCATCCCCTCGGGGCCCAGCTCCAATACGGAGGCCAGCACCCAATCGAGCCTTCAAATCATGGGGATAATTTGCCCCAGGCAGCCTGTATAGACAAAGAGCACATCAGTGGTGTCCTGGAAGGGCTTGAGGATGCACTCCATTTGGGAGAGGGTCAGCCAGTCATTGGAGCTGAAGCTGAGCTCCTCTTCCCCATGCAGGAGATGACATCCTGCACAATGCTCTTCTGCTCCACCAAACATGAAATCATGGCATAGGTGGAGTTCCTCATCCCCCCCCCCACCTCTCGTGCAACAGATGGGCAGACTTGATGCTGCACGAGAATTGGGTGGTCAGGCACCGGCAGGTCTCAAGCAAGAACTGCATCTTTAAGGGGAGCAGCATCCCAGGTGACCTTGACAGTGTTCCCCAGCCCCAGAGCATACTTCACCACCAGCTCTCCAGGCATGTGTGCCAGGCAAACGATGCCCTTGAGGCTCACACACTTCACCTCTGCCAGCATGTTGGCTCCAGTGTCCATGACATGTTGCTGCCACCAACCCACTCCCTCGGGCTACTCTGTATCACAGCAGCAATGTTTTGTGTCATGTGGTCTACATCCATCCCCTGCACAAGGAGCAAAACCATTTTGTAGCCTGGTGGCAGGACTGTCCCCTCCTGGAGTCTGGCTGTGCCCTGACAGTCCTGCAGACTGCTCCAGAGGTCTGCTGTGAAGTGCATGGTTCTGCCTAGTACTCTGGAGAGCTGAGCCTTGACCATCACCACTGTGCCCTCCGCAAGGGAGAAGGATGTCATAGTCCTCCCCTCCAAAGAGTGTTAGCAGTTGGTGGTGTCTCTTGGCAATGCTAACACCTGTTTTGCCTTTGTGGAAAGCCCCAGGAACAGCAGGGGGAGGAGGTTGTGAGACCCCTGGTGATGCCCTGCTTGGGCTAGGCTCCAGTGGGCTGGCAGGATGGGTTTGGTGCCCAGGGATGGGTGCCTGGGTATGCAGGGGATGGAGGAGTTCTTCCTCCCACAATGAGCACCCTGTGCACCCACTTTCATCCTCATGTCACATAGAGGTGTTCGCACTCAGGAAGGATGGGAGGGTATAAATGTGGGAGACTTTTTTGGGGGGGTTCCATAACTGGGACCCAAGAAATATAATCCACCCTCAACTTGGAGAGACTGTAGAGGAGTGGGCAGCAGGGTGAGGTTTCCCTGGGCATTTGGTGTGTGTAGCTTGCAGGGGTTCCATTCTATACACTTTTGAACCTGTGCCTGACATTTCCCCCAAAGAACTTTCCTGGCTTGACCTTAGTCCAGTTGGGTTTGTACTGCCACAGTGGCATCGATTCTTCTGGGCTTACAAAAATACCCCCACCCCACCACCGCCTTCAGTTTCTACTTCAGAAATTCTCTGGCTTGACCTTAGTCCTTTTGGGTTTGCAGTGCCACAGTGGCACTGGTTCTGCTGGGCACATTGCACTGGTTCTGCTGGGCTTGCAAAAATGCCCCCACCTTCAGTTTCTGCTGCAGAGATTCTCTGGGGAGGGGGTCTAACTCAGACCCCATAATCCAATCCTCACCAAACCTGGAGTGCAGGTAGAGGACAGTCAGCCAGAGGTCCCCTGCAAGTTTGGTGTCCCTGGCATGCCAAGAGGGCCGTTCTACTGTGTCACAATCCTCACAAATGGAATTGGTTTGTTTAGCATCAGTTAATCAGTTTGGTTTGCAAACAGGGCACACCACAAACCAAACCGCATTTTCCCAGTTTGTGTCCATCCCTAGTACCTATTGGTTGTTCTTCAGCCATGGAACTCTCTTCCTCTAATCATCTTCCAAAGGCTGCCAATGAACTTTTGGAATCATTTTTTATTTCCTTGCACAAGAAAAGCATGTGTGAAACAGAAGAAGTTGTGACAGTTAAAGTATTCAACTCATCCATGGACTTTAGTGTAATATTATATTTCACACCATAAAGAGTTGCAACTAATACTTTTGACTTCTATGGTGACAGATGAACTCTTATTCCACTCAGTGCTTCTGTAAAGTAGAACTGAAAGTTATTGCATTCATTAATTGCTGCCTGCAATATGAAATAATGATTTTTAAACTTACTACCCAAAATTTAAATGCATGTTATTTTAGTAAACCTGGTTTTACATTTAACTGTTAAGTAAAATAATGATTAATGTTTTGTGCTTTTTTTCCTGGGGGCTTTATTATTTAATATTACAGCTCCTCAAATGTCAATTAACAGTATGTTTTCTTATTCCTTGGCTGTGCAGTTACACATTTAATAGGTGGGTATGAAAGGGCTACTGCTAAACATATAAGAAGCTTTATGCTTTTCTGGTCCATCATCCATAGTTTTTTCTGGCCATAACCTTTTCCATGGTCAGTCTTGCCCTTTCCATTCAATAATATCTCTGAGTTTCTATCACAATAGGAAGAATAAGAAGAACTCAGTCATTATTTCATTGAATGCTGCTGTTAAAAAAAATAACACAGACCATGTTTTGCCTCAGTGCTGAATGAGAATGAATTTTCCTTGCATTCCCCCCCACTCAGCAGCTAACCTATCAGCAGAAGTAGATTGTTCCATGATTTTAAAACATGCTGTTTGCTGACAAACTAACTTAAGTTATATAAAAGTAGGACCACTTTAAAAAATATGTAATATGTACCACATAAAACATCACTTCTGCATTCTCCTCTCTGCAGTGATGCTGACCTGTGCTGTTCAAAATATTCCGCAGAT